AGACTAGTCCAGCAGCAGACTAGTCCAGCTGCTCTACTAGTCTACCAGCAGACTAGTCCAGCAGTAGACTAGTCCAGCAGTAGACTAGTCCAGTCCTCCACTCTCTGCTCGTCCATGGTGTCTCTGTACCAGTGCTGACACGCCTGTAGTCGAGCCCTGAGTTCAGAACAAAAACCGACTGTCACACGGACACGGACCAACACTGAAGAAAGGAACAACTAGAGGCAGAAAGGTGTCATTACACCACTGACGTGTGAATGGTTTTCATCTGAAACCTGTTGTAGAAATCCAACAAGTTTTGACTTTTATTCCAACAGGAAGTCAAAGTCTTCTGACCTATCACAGCCCTGCTACATTTACCACCGCCACACTGGAACTTCACACAGCACACTCAGCATTTCAAAGCTCCCTTCCTGTCCTTCACATGCTGCATTCTCCCCCCCCTCCCCCTTCCTCCCCTGACTCTTTACCTTCACTTCAGTGTTCTGTGTCAGAGGACTTTGAAAATCAGATGGAATCTAAGAAGACAGTTTTCCTCCAAACTCCACCAGATGTCCTACTACTAAATATATGACTGACTGACACACACACACACACACACACACACACACACACATATGCTTGGACTTTCTTTTCAGACCCTTCACTCAAAACCACTGAATGTTTTCTTGCCATGTTTTTTCTCCAGGCCTCAGATGCCAAAACCTTCAAGGTTCAGTAAACATATTTCTGTCATTAACAGATTAGCCTCTAGGTGTCACCAACACTCGTATCAGTGCCTGAGCTGTTTTCTCTCTTCTTCTCTACCTATGTTTTTTCCTTGCGTGTCGTTTTATTTTTGGGTTTTACTCTTTGGGTTCTGACCAGGTTCTAAAACAGCATCTGGGTTTTACTCCAGTCCTGATAAATGTTGTTTCTCTTCTTGCATTCTTTACCTACTTAGGAACGATTCTGGCAAACAGAGCCTGGTCGTATTAACGTTCAGTTATGAAACAGTGAATGTTGCAGTGAGACCTGAAACTGTCTCACCCTCAGTGGTCCAAGAACACAGAACGTTCCTGCGCCTCAGGTTCCACAACAGGAAACAAAACGTTGAATGTGGTAATAAATGTTAGCCATCGTTGTGGCTTCGCGACACACGGCAGGGAGAGAAGTGATTTTTATAAATCCGATTTATCGAACAAAAGTTGATGACGAACAACAAACAAACAAGCATGTTTGTTTGTTCAAAGCATCATGAATGTACGTCAGGTCGTGTCCCGTTATTGT